AAGGAAAATAATTGATTTTTATTACATTCATTAATTATATTTTTTTATTTTCATTTATTAATCAATTTAACATTTATTTTATTTATTTCACATATTGTGTCCTAATTTGTCTAGCAATATATAATTTCCGAGTTTCTTGATTTTTATATTAATTAATAAATAATCTTTTAACAATTTATTATCTATGATTACTCCTGATTAAAACTCCGAACAGTTCAGTTTGGTTTCAGTTTCTAAAAAGTCAAATAGAAAAATTTCGGTTCAGTTCAGTTTACTCTTTGAACTGAACCAAAACTGAATCAAAAATTTTTAGTTTGAACTAAACCGTTCAGATCTTTAAGCTAAAGACTACTTGGCAGTCACTGGTATTCTAATTTTTGCACACTGCTTTTAGAATTAACTCAAAGGCGTTGTTGTAGTTTAGAACCTGAAACTATAAGAGTTTGAATGCGTTTAAACTATACATGATATGGTAATTGGCTAATTACCGTAAATACGTAATTCGTAATTAAAGTAATTAATTACCACTTTCACTCTTTAAAAACCTAATTACGTAATTAATTACGGGTGACGAAATTAATTACAATTATGAAAATTTTCTATGCAAGCCGTTATTAATACTATACATGGGATGATAATTGCATCATTACCGTAAGTACGTAATTATTGCAGTTAATTATCGTTTTCCTCTTTAAAAACATAATTACGAAATTAATTACCATATTGCGGGCGACGAACAATTTATTTCGATATAACGGATAATGATGATGATCATTACTGTTTTGAAAACTTCAAATGTAAAATAAAACTTATGATTTGTAAAATTTAAAATTTATGGCTTGTATAATAATAATGATTCGTGAAAATAAAAAATATCCACCCTTGTCTATAATCAAAAAAAAAAAATTTTTGTCAATTTAAAAAAAAAACCCAAGCACAGAAGCTATAAAAAGGTTTGGAAACTGCACTCAAATATGTACAACAAAAAAATTTGGAAATTGATTCGTCAATAAATTAAAGAAGAAAACTTCTTGCAAAAGAATACAAACAAGGATCGAAGAATACTATATGCTAGAATAAAATAAATTCATATTTATATATTGTAAAAGTTGTTTGTTAATTATTACACTATTTTTTAAATTTAACTGATGTCACATGATTTTTATTATAAAACCCGCTAATTCCAAATTTCTCATTTTTACGGATATTTCGATTTAGCGGATAAATTTCTTGGGCCAAACTTGTCCTCTAAATTGAGATTCGCTGTGTAATAATAATAATATGGTAATATGGTAATAAATGTTTATTTTTGTAATATTATAAAAATGATAATAAATTTTGAAATGAAATTAATAATGATAATTTTAAAATCCTTGATCTTGATATTTTTTTAATAAATCATCTAATTTTTCACCCTTTTCATCTTCATACCTACGTAACTTTATTGTAAAAGGTTTGCAATTACTCTCTAAAGTTCCCAATGAATTATCAGAAAAAAAGTTAAATTATTCAAATTTTTAATAATCTACATCAATTAATTTTTTTATATGTCGCTTCATTGATTTCCATTTTAATGATATGGCATTATTTTTTCTTGAGATTCCATTCTTTTGTAATTCGATGCAATTTATTTTCTTTTGAAATATGTGGTTTAAGAGAATAGTCAATTCTTCCATTGTTCCAAGAAGTAATAAAATTTTTTTCAATATTAAGACTTTCTAATTCACTAATATCATCATTGCCATCAATATTATTGTCATCTCCATAATTGTTACCAACATTATCAACTTCTACCACACCAATTTCTTCCACCTCTTCCACCTAGAGATGTGCCGTGTGCATTATGCGCATAATAGATTAGATAAATCTATGTTATGCGCCAAAAATTTTAAAAATAAATTTTCA